GTCGATCACTCATATAATTCGCCGACCATCGCTTCAGTCCCTGTGGGAGTGAGGAGGCCTCGATATCTTCTAGCAGCGTGGAATGGCTAACGGTGTCAAACGCCTTTGATAAGTCCAGCGCTACTAGGACCGTTCTCTCATAGGGGCGGTTTCGATTTAGGCCACGAGTTATTTGGGTGTTTGTGGCGTTAAGTGCTGTTGTTGTGCTATGCACTTTACGTGCTGGTGCTTCGCTGGGGTCAGGTGAAAGGTGAAGTATGGGAGTAGCAGGGCTTCAAGTGTCTTCGCGACCGGGGAAAGGAGCGTTATCGGACGATAAGAGTCTCCTTTGTTGGCGGGCTTCCCCGGCTACAGCAGTGGGACCACTCTCCCTGATTTCCACACATCAGGAATGATGAGAGGGCCATAGACAGGTTTGCGGACCTCCGTTAAGTAAGCTGCTTCCTTAGGCCCAAAATGTTTCAGTATCAACATACAAATTCCGTCGGTCCAATGATTTTCGAGGCTTTTGCCTTCCCGATAGCCCCCTTCCCTTCACAGCTGGTGAAAACAAGTGGTACACTGTTTTTTGCCAGCTTGTGCCTCCTGGTCACTCGACGTTTGGCCCTGTCTACCGAAGGATGCAGTGTGAATTGCCTACTGAAGTAGGTTGTGCATTTCTTCGGGTCCGACGAAGCGCGATCTTCGAATGAGATTTCCACTCTGTCATCACGCATCGTTGGGTTGTGCTAATTTACCAGTTGCCGAATCTCTAAATTAAGGTCCCTCAGACGGGGGTTCCCGGGATCGACCTGGCGTAGGTGGTCACGCTCATTGGCTAATACTGCTGCTTCGGCCGGGAAATTTGGGCGGGCTTCCGCGATACTTTCGGGCGGGATTAAGCGAGCCGCTGCGGCAGTGACTACCCTGCGGAACTGGTGTTAGCCAGCATGTACGTTTTTGGGTGTGGAAAGGGCGGCGAAGCTGATCTCGGTAACTTCCGCGAAGCCCTCCCAATCAGCTTTGTTAAGGTCGGTGCAGTTTCGGTGGTCCGCGGGAGCAAAGTCGTGGGCTTATTGATCGAGATGATTATGGGTAGATGGTCTGATGCTAGTGTTAGCATAGGTCGCCATGATATGCTATTGATCACACCATCGCTAGCAATTGTGAGGTCTGGCGAGCTGCTGCAGCTACCCACAATCCTGGTGGGGGCGCCATCGTTCATGGTGCAGAATGAACCCCGCTTAGATCGGCGATACCCTTCAATCATTGGAAACCTCATCCGAGGCTTTGTATCTCTTTTTCATTGGAGCCGGTTTCTACGTGGCGGGTCCCAAATCCAGCGCATAGCCCATTGTTGGGACGGGGGTAGTTTCGTACCCGAATACACGTTTATAAAGTGAGCCGCTTGCAGCCGCAAATACTGGTGAACAGACGCTGCAGACTTCAGTGAGCCCTTAAACCGAATAAGTCGGAGTGGCCCCACCAAAGCCCCCTCTCTTTCTGCCGTGACCCAAGGCTCCACTCAGATTGGTTACCGCATCTCGCACATGGGTTGCCCACGTTGCCCACAGTGCGCGATCGAGGACGCAAGAGTCGGGATTGAGTATAGTCGTGCGACGGTAACTACATACCCGGCACAACGACTATACCCCATGGCAAAAACGCCCTATCTCAGCTGAAAATACATTGAAGATGTGCTGAGATAGGACGTTTTTGAATCGGCAGTGGCGTTGCCAAATGTCCCGTATTTGCCGGGACGTCCCGTATTTTGCATTAAATTTGAAATGTCCCGCCGGTTTAGCGGCTTCAAACTTGCACTTTATAGTACTGAAATTGAATGGGCTATAAAACAGCATACTCTACATCTTTCTAGGAAATCTAAATAAAAATATCGAAATTTCTATGAAAATTTTTTTAAGTTTAATTAATTTTTGTGGACTTTTTGTATGCTTTGAAATGTTTATTTCAAATAAAAAAATATATTTTTATATTTCTATTTATTTGAGTCAACTCTTACAATTATTTTTTATATATATTTATGGGTCGATTATCGATAGCAATCGAACTTAAGTTGCGTTGCTAGTTGCCGAAACGATAGTTGCGATCCCGTACAAGCCCTAGAGCTGTAAAACTATCGATGGTACTATCGAATGGTTCCATTTTTTTGCACTATCGAATGGTCGTTGGCCACTATCGATAGTCTTTGTTTGAGAAAATATTTATATTCGGGCAGGTTCTGGAATTCACTTCCGAGTGAATTTCAACCCCTGCCAACTTGAATTCAAAGCGAACTTGACTCAAATTCACTCGAAAGTGAATTGCAGAACCTGCCGGATTGTTTATATTTAGTATGTTCCTTTGAACTTCGGACTAAAACCTGTGGAACTGTCAAACTACAATTTTACTCTCTCAAATGAGAGTAAAAGGAGAACAGATGCAGAAGTGCATAGGAACGCAAAAAGCACTATTTCCTGTAAAAACGTCAGTCGGTTTGTTTATATGTGATTTGTACAACACTGATTTAGCTGAAATATCACTAAATAATTATTAAAATCTATACATATTCAAACATTTCGTTGTTTACTTCCATTTTTTTTACAAATATAAGGTACTCTGCTTTCACCGCTGTTTATTTTTGCTTGCACATGCAAATCAGCTGGTCGTTTGACACTTTTCATGAACTTACAGGAAAAAAAACTCCGGACTAAATCCTGTAACTTCTGACTAGGAACAGTCGCTCAGTTACTCTCTCAAATGTGTTCCCACTTACAGGTTTTATGTCAATAGGAACGACTTCCTGTAAGTTCTGACTAAATCCTGTAAACCGAACTGCTATTGGAACAGACCAATTATATGTACTACTTAGGTCGATGTTATGCAGACGAACTTTTGTTTGGCAAATTAAATGGCGGCTGCGTAGTTTGCTCGGAGGTGGTTATGTCCAGTTTGGCACAGGGTTGCACGCTGATTGTGATTTTCATGGCTATTGCCAATACAAAATAAAAATTTCAAATGTACAAATCGTGCACAAATTAGTATTTTTTATGATATTGTATAGGCAATTAACTGTGCCCTAAGCTTTGAAGCTCCTACAGCATAAATTCAGTTGTCTGTCATTCGGTATCACTGCAATTTTTGTGTATAACAATAATAACCTACAATTTTTTTTGTATGGCAACACTAATTTTACAGCAGTTTGGTCCAACAAAATTAGTTTGCTGTGAGAGTCGCCAAACTCGCTCCTCCGAGTTTGCTGCAACAACAATTGCACGCAGTTTGCCAAACAAAATGTCTGCATAAGAGCTGTGCAAGCTTTAAGGACCGGAGATATTGAAGCTGAACGAAGTCGTTCCTCTGTGTATTAATCATCATGCTACGGCTTATTTTGGAAGTTTTGAATATGCTTTGAACCTGAACACAAACAGATAATAAATGAAAAACCTTCAAAGCATTAACTTTTGCTTACAGTGCAGGCAGTGTCTCTAGAGGATTGGAATTATTCTTTAAATGTCGCCTGATTCAGGCCGCGTTAATGCGCTGCTCTCTTTCGTATAAAAATAGTTCACTGAACTTAGAATTATGGCAGTCTATTATTTAAAACTCTTTATTTTAATAATCTCACTTTACTAGCGCAGCTTGTGTACAACCACTTGCTGGTTGCCGTACTGTCAAATTTCGATTATCGATAACTCTGCAGCGACTTACGATAGTTGTCATATTTTAATTTAATGACTTAGATTATTTAAGATACCGTCAGGGACGCTCACTATCTCGCAAAATATAATTAAGTTCTTTAACCCCTATTTGAAAATCTAATCTCCAAAGCACAATTTTACAGCCGATGAGAGAAGCAACGTAAACAGCAAGCAAGTTCAACTGGTCTATCTTTTCATCCACTAAGCAGTGGACCTAGGGATGTCAGTGGCAAAAATAAATCGATGTTTTTCTTTGATTTGGCGCATCGCAATGTACATCGCTATTCTTCGATGCTTCGAAGGGCATACATCGATGCATCGATTTCCATAGGAATTTTCAGATACCTAATAGTTGCGTTTCCTTGGGTTATCCAGCTCAGCATCATGATCATCTCTCACGGAAACGATCTGGACAATTTTTTTGGGGTTGGCAGCACTAATTTTATATCTACTACTAGCACGAGGAGGACGAAAATGTTAGAATGAACTCACTAAATGCGGAAAGGTGCATTCAAACGAAATAATTAGGGGATTCACAAGACGTGTTAACCGTCGTAAAATCTTAAGCTTAACACTTGTTTATGTAAAATAGCGGTTAAAATGGTTGGGGGGTTGGCTAATTATATATTCTTTATCAGTTTAAAAGAATTTCGGTTTAGTTAGAAATCCCCTAAAACCATTTTAATTAAAAAAGATGTTAACCTTAAGATTTTACGACGGTTAACACGTCTTGTGAATCCCCTAAATATTCACTTGAATAAATATTTAACAAAAACGGAATTTATGTGAATCAAGTTAGGAGAAACAAATGGCAGAATATCTGTTTGTGTATACGTTCATTTGTCAGTGCTACCAAACCGTGCAGCAAACACAGCGGATCATGAATTGAACCAGAACTCTATCAGTATCGTGTCGTTGTTGTTGCACTTTCTTGGGAAATTTTAAATAAATTACTGCAACTGAGCTAATTATTTTTCTAACGGAACTCTTTGGATGCATCGATACATCGACTAAGTATTTAAACATCGAGTGGAAAAGTGTCGATGCATCCAAGCAAAACATCGATATTTTTGATCCATCGATATTTTCCGCCATCCGTAAGTGGACCTTCTTCCTCTGGACAAAGTACCATATTTTGCAACACTGTGCGACCTCTAAATATTTTCTGATTTAAAATTAAAAAATAGGGGTATATTTTTTCGATATAGAACAGTCCTAGGGGGTGAGAGCATTAAAATACCGACTTTACTTGTTTGGACTAACCTAGTTACATATGTAGATACATACAAGCATACATACATATGTATAAGTACACAAGCTTACCACAGGTGTCACTGTCACTATCGTCCGCGGTGCTTATTTTATCTCCACTTATACTGCTATCAATAAAATTACTGGCGCCAAAGGTTTTCCCAACATTATCCTGAGCTCTAAAATCTATTGCTGCGATTTGCGAAGCGGGCAACGGCGATTGGGATAGATCATCTTGATATATTCCGCAACAAACAGCATCTTCACCCACCTTATCAACGATGTCTTTACTAAAGTTATTCAGATTTTGTTGCACCTGGTATAAAGATGAATAGCTTTTTGATAGTGACGCACTTGTGGTATTTTCCATGTTAGCATGAAGGTGAGACATAACATCTCTTGTTGCAAAAGCTGTGCCATGGTTACCTTGACCGTTTGAAGTAGCCAATTTGTGATCGAGTCGTGAAGAATGCGTTAAAAATTGCTGGCCCAACATGGAACTTGGCAAGTATGACTGGTGTTGTTGAAACAAATACTGATTTTGTTGTGTCTCATATTGCTGCAGCATAGTCGTTTCGTTGATCTTGAGACTTTGATGCGGAGAAGAGTTTTTGTTTAGGTTACCAATTGTGTTTTCGTTTTGGAAAGCAGCTGCGGCCGCACTTCCGGCTAAAATGTCTGTTATCATGAAACGGGATCGCGACGATTGCTGCGAAGTGCAGTGCGTGGTATTAGCAGGCATTATAGGCATCGACGAAGTTGGCGCACTTATAGTAGACATTTCAGGTGGCATTTTTATCATTGAAACATATGATTAAATACGTTATAAATTCCGGTATTCTTTTAATATTATCAACTATATGTTGATACTCTATAACCGTATAGATATTCCACTCTTCACAACCTAGTACAATATGTATGAAAGTTCATATAATCTATACTTATATTTAATGGTACTATTCTTTCAATTAGTATCACGCCAGAAATGCATTTTTGATAACGTTTCTTACGGAAATCTTAACCAAAAATACTCGTCCGCCAGCGCCAAAAATTTAATATCACCACCCGATTTCAGTACAAAATCGAAACTAAACTATGCTCAATTGATATCCTATATCTCACTCAAAAATACGTAGCTCGCACTCGCAGACACGCAGCAATAATTGGATCTAGAGTAGTTCAACCAGTGTAACACTTTAGGCCTTTTGAACAATGTTTACCTTTCCCAGTTGCTGTCTCGTTTGCGCTACATTAAGAGGATGTTTTTTCACTATCTCAAGGGGTATATTTGTCTCTCAACTTTGTTGTTTCTCTATTCTGCTATTGTACGTATGTATGTATGTATGTTCGATGAATGTGTTAATGGCATGCGTGAACCATCCGAATGCTGGATTTTATCTTTTGTTTGCAAAAACTATTTGAAAAGTACAAAATATGTATACTTCCTCAGTTATTGGTCACACGTAATTATTTCCTATTGATATTCATTAGTCAGTGAAGAAGATATATGTATGTAGGTAGACAAGTGCTCTTGTAATGGCTCTCTTGCTGCTGAAGAAGGTGTGTATCCATGTACATACACACACATGCATATAAAGCCGTTTTTTATTTCGGAGGGGAACGAGTGGTGAATTATTAATGTACATACACACACACACCTGCTCTATATACATACATGTATGTATGTACAATCGAGAGCGAAGGAAATTTTTACTCCCCTTCTAAAAATTCTGCATTTCCTCTTCAAGTAAAATATTTAGATTTTGAAGATTCTATTTTATTTACTAGAGTGTTACAACGACATGGACAGGGCCGTCGAAAGAAAACTCGGGGCCCGGACTGAAAAATACCGGCTCCTATACATTGTACTAGTTTAAAAGCGTGTGATCAATTCAGAGTTTTCCATGTACGGTTTCTTTAATGTATAGAGACAGAAACAACAATCAGTACGAATTGGAATATACCAATTTATTATAAAAGCCTATAACGAAGAAGCAGTTTCTAGCGGAAGTATGGAAAAATATTTGTTTCTATAATGAATTTAATTTTTTTATTAAACTGTTAATTATAAATATAAGATGAGCTGATATAATTCAATATCTGTTAACATAACTACTTGTCAAAATCATAACTGTGGTCATTATTAGTTGCGTTCCCTAACTCGCAAGAAGTTGCAAGAATTTACAGGAATTTACCAGAAAGCGTTCCCGTACTCGGTTCTCTGGCTTCTTTTGACAGTTTTATAGGTTTTAACCCAGAAAAGTTGGGGAACGCAACTATTATTTGACCATTAAGCAGTTTTTATACCTTTCATGACCATGAAATGGTACCTATTATAACTTTGGTCCGATGTTTGTAAGTACCAGAATAAGAAGAGATAGACCCATTAAAATGTATACCTAAATGATCAGAACGTCGAGCTGAGTCTGTCCATCTGTTTGTATACAATCTAGTCTCTCAGTTTTCGAGATATCCGGATGAAATTTGGTAGGTGGTTGTATTTGTATAATGTATTAATCATTTGTCGGAACCGGAAGAATCGGACCACTATAACATATAGCTGTCATACAACTGATTGTTCAGATATAAGATTTTTCGTTATAACTCCTCCATTTAAGTAGCTGTTTTGCACTGTTGTCACTCATTATAAAATGGATGCTTTCAGTGGAAATGGCGAAGATCGGGTTGCTATAACCTATAGCCTCCATACAACTGATTTTTCAGAAATGAGATATTTTGCCATAACTTCTCCATTTATGCAGCTGGGAACATAAAAATTCGCACCGTTTTCACTCATTATTAACAAAATACTTACAGTGAAAATAACAAAGATCGGGTCACTATAACATATCACCTATACAACTGATTGTTCAGTTATGAGTATTTTCGTTATAACTCCTCCATCTATGCAGCTAGGAACATGTAGGGATAAGTCGATACCATCAAGGTATTACTCAAATCAGTACTTGTACTTTTATCAAACAAGGTATCGATACCTACTCAGTATCGCAAAGGTATCGAGTACTTGTACACAGAACTACGATTTTGCAGTTTTTCAAAGTTCTTGAATTTTTTTTTTACAAAAAATATGCATTTTTACAATATTATTTATCTTCTAATACTTTTTCATACAAAAACAATAGAATACATTTTACAAGATTAATAGATAAAGTTTTTTTCATATAATATAAGTTTAAGAAAATTACTCTTTTTTTGTTATATTTCCCCAATCAACCAACTTTTCCAAGTATTTTCATGAAAGGCGGTTTCGAAGTTTTGATATACGGGCATGTTCTGAAATTCGAAACTTTGAACTCTACTCGATTTGCCAAATATTTTTTAATTATATCTCATGAAAAGAGTGAATATTCTAATTGAAAACCGTAAAAGAAGCAGCAGCGATATGAAATAAATCATTTTAATGCGAGACTTGTAAATTTATGGGTTAAACCATCGAAAAAATTATCGAAGTCAAGTCGATTTAAAATTTTCGAAAATTTGCTCGACCCTATTAAGCTGGCATTTCAGGGTACTATTTTATATATATATAAGGAAAATTTCAAAGTTAGGGGGGGAGGCTCGAGCACCCCCCTGCCCCTACCTGGCTACGCCCATGTTTGCTTGTATCGATTTATCCCTAGGAACATGAAATTTCGCAATACTTGCGCCCATTATCAACAGAATACTTACTGTGAAAATAATAAAGATCGGGCCACTTTTACTTATAGCTCATACACAACTGATTGTTCAGAAATGGGATTATTTGTTATAGCTCCTCCATCTATGCAGCTAGGACAATGTAATTTCGCAATATTTCCACCCATTATCAAAAAATACTTACTTTGAAAATGGCGAAGATCGGGTCGCTATAACCTATAGCCTCCATACAACTGATTGTTCAGATATGTACTGTAAAACTCCTTTATCTGTGCAGCTAAAACCGATAAATTTCGTAATCTATTTTATAAATAATAATACAAAGTCTACTGAGAAAATCGTCAAAATCTATGCTGTATGAGCTATGTATATCTCTTATACCACTGATTGTTCAGATACCAGTTTTTGCGATATATCTCCTTTATGTAGGAAGCTAAACCCATTAAATTGTGTTACCGGTTTACATATCTACCAATCACATAGCAGTGAAAATCACTTAGATTTGGTGCTGAGTATATAAGGTACATTTTCCATAGCTCTAATTGTTTATGTAGATATGATTTTTATATATGTATCTCTTACTTGTTATATTTGAGCTTTTCTCACTTTCTGAGCAGCAAATTGTTTTATGACAATCAGTGTTGCCAGGTTTAAAATTTTGTCGTCATTTGGAAGATGTTTAACTGTCTTGACGATTTGACGATTTCGACACGACGATTTTTTCATTGTGTGCAGTTTCTATTGCCAGTTGTTTTAGTGGTGATTTTTCGATTTTTTCTTTTACTTTTCCAGAAAATTATTGGGCTTTTAATAAAAATCTTTAACTCAATCTAAAAGATATTTATATAGATATATATGTATTCTAAAGTTATATAACAAACTTCTCATTTCATCCCTTTCTTTTGAATTTTAAGGTTTTTTTGGAAAGGGTTCCTTCACCATATATCGTCGCTACCATGTCAAACTATCGAATGTGCGAAAATACTTTTTTAATTGCGATACCTTGCGCTTGTCCTTAGATTGATACGCAAATTGGCAAATTTTTTGTACTCTTTGAAGCAGAGGATACTGGTCGAATTCCACACTTTTCCTAATGACAACAACATTTTTTACAACACTTTCCTTGGTACCCATTTTCACACTCATTAGTTTGACATGGTAGCGACGATATATGCACTGACTAAAAAATTTCAATAGTCCCACTTCCTACTCCACTAGTTTCCACTTCTTCCATATCAGCAAAATTGGGAAAATTATATCTTCTTTAACACAAAAATCGCTTATGTAACCAAGTACCTCCAACACAAGGGTTAAAGAAATATTTTTAGCAAATTGGTTATCAGTTTAGTTCATTAGGTAATACAAATGTATGTTTGTTGTTTATCTAAATGCAATTAAGCATATTTCTTTTATATGTAATGTGAAATTTAGTGCCAAAATATTTTCCGGACACTGTTTATTTTAATATTTTGTGTGTAGACGTTTTTTCAATACAAACGACGATTTTCGAGAACCATTTTGAGGATTTCTATGTTCAACTACCTGGCAACACTGATGACAATATCAAAATCCAATTCGATACAAAGAGTATCTAGCCCCGAATTGCGCCCTTGTTTAGAGCACACTAAGGAACGTTCAGCTCCAGCTACAGTAACAGGTATTGTTACGGGGACCATATTTATGGAAGCCGAATACGGGACAAAAATAATTTTGCTTATTTTCTGCACAAAACCTAATCTAATCTTAAAAACTTCTTCAATGATTCTAGCAGGGATGGGCCTTTTAGAATGAATTATTATTCAAACAAAAAATAAAATTTTATTCATAGTTTTTCCAGTTTTGAATGACGAATAAATTTGTATTCATCATTCAAGTAATTTCAAATAACGAATAAGTGTTTATACTTCATTCAAAAACTTACGAATGACGAATAAATTTTCATTCATCATTCAAGTAGTTTCAATAAACGAATAAATTTTTATTCATCATTCAATTAATTTAGACTAACGAATAAATTTTTATTCATCATTCAAGCACTTTCGAATGATGAATAAACTTTTATTCTTCATTCAAATAATTTCAAATAACGAATAAATTTTTATTCATCGTTCAAGCAATTTCGAATGAAGAATAAATTTTCATTCATGATTCAAGTAAAACTGAATAACGCATTTCATTTATTCATTCTTTCTAGATCGCCGTACCAGGTAGACGATCATGGTAAATGTTCGTGTCGTATGTACATATTTATTGTGTATGAAATATTACAAAATATAATATTAAAATCTACATATGTTTATATCACATACAAGTGGGTTGCCACCTGTTTAAAAAAATCATATTCAAT